TGGATTTTTGTCCCACTTTTCTTTTTGAATTAGTTTTTCTATACGACTATGAAGTACGACAGCTCGCGACGATATGCATGTATGTTAGAGCATCGTTTATCTATTACTAACAAAATTAATTGATCGATACAGTATATTGGCAAAATATGTATTACGTTGAGAAATATAGGGTTGGGAAAAAATGAAACATAAAATAAACAAAAATACACGTAGAGTAATTATCTCACGAAGTTAGGAAATAGACTATTCCGTTTATCATAAAAGCAGAATAAAAACTAATGTTTGCTAGTGTGGGGAAGTATGTGGTATTGAAACCTATGTAACGAAATCAGAAATCAATGATAAATTCTCTAAAGGCTGTGTTTCGAGATGGAAATTCTTATTGACTCATGATATCTATCACGCTCAAACCCACGTTCCCAGACCTCAACACTACTTGTAGGATGTTTCCTCCGAAAATGGTCAAGGACGACTAAACATACAGTGTCTTCAAATATCCTAGCTAAGGTAGTCAAATTCTCATGAGCGTGGAGTAGAGCTGCTTTCATTCAAAACTCTAGACATCTTTACTGATCGCTAATTAATGTGCCATCAATATCGCAGGTTACTTCATGGGCACATCATTTTGCTAGCTGTGGATCTGAGAAGTTACTACTTTTTCCTCGTAATTAATGTATTTGCGTCCTAAAGTTCCTGCGAAATTTTCCACATTGAGACGGTAGAAAAAATCGTCCTTAAAATCCACAGGAATATAAATAACTAGTATGCAGAGGTTCTAAGATGTCAGCTGGAACTTACTGTTAATAAGCGAGGCGTTTCTTGAACGCCAAGCGTATTTGTTCTCCATTCTCGTAGCATATTTTGAGTGCAAATGATGCTCACCTCTACATTCTGGTAGAGTTCCAGCTAGTCTTAAATGTTACTCGATTCGGTATTTTCATGTAATGTCGGATGTAACCGATTCTTGTATATCAGTTGGTTCTAAAGGATCAATTCTATAATTGTTCGAACGTGGTTAGAGCTCAATCAACTGCTTTGGAACGATAGACGTTGATTTCGATGGCGAACCATCTCCTACATCAACTGGCTATGTGGACTGACGTAGGAATAGGTTTTAATATAGCTAGCGGCGGCCAAATCAGAACCTGGTTTCAGCCTATGGAGTCACTGACTGTCGAACTGAGCCATGTTGGTAGGCTCCGGTCGGAGACGTTTCCCAACTCGGCATTTGTTTCGGCCACGGAGACACACGTATTGTTTGCATTCCTTTAGATTCTGGGTCTCGAAATTACCAACATATACACCAGGTTCTACTTTACGTATGACCGACTAACAACATTTCATGCTAATGGTCTTATCTATTATAGAGTGAAGCAGTTAGATATATTCCTATATTACCGGTGACCAATTCGTGTCCTTAACTCCACTCATACTTTCAGGATCTTGTAATACGTATGCACCAAGGACTCAATATTAAGTCTTTCAGTTCACTGTAAAGTAATGGACTGATAGTTAGACAATCCGTCAAAACTATGAGCCATTTCGGGAGTATCACTAACCCTGATAGGCTGCTTAGGGCGCCTTTCTTCACTTATCGGCGCGAACTGGTCTTCATCAACGTCTTAACTAGTGTTATAGAGTAAAATATTGAAATGCGTTGACCAATCCACTTACCTTGAACGTCTTATCAACCTTGATGGTTTGATATCTCAGTTTGTATTCAAAAAGGTTGGTTGGTTTTTGCTACATTTATCACTTGTGAGGTTATTTTATAAAATCATAGACTTGCTTTAAGGTGTGGTAGTAGTTGCGGACTTCTAACCACAACGATCAGTAGGTAGAAATGTCGAGTGGCATGGTTCGAGACCAGTCTTAGTGGCTCAAATGTGGAGGGCCTCCTTTCGAAGTTATGTCTGGGAGAAGTATTCGAACCATGTTCAACTCTATGTAACCATCTAGGATAGTGCATTGGTGCATACAAAAGCAGGCATCCGGAGTCTTAATGTGAGTGATAAAGTGGTTGTCAAGTTACACCCTGGGAAAAGTTGGTGGGAACCTAGTTATTAAAAAGAGAATGGGGAATGTTTTGTAAAAAGTGCGTGGGACGTTCGGAACGTCAGTCGGACACACCAATCAAATCCATAGAGGGAAAAGGACAATTAACACGGTAGATAAGCAAGGGAATCTTCCATTGGAGATAATCACAGGTACTCCAATGACAGGAACTTTTAAAGACATAATGGAGAACGATAGGATGAAAGTTTGGAGTCGGAGGACACTAAGAAAGACAAAACGCTGTCGCAAACCACTTGGCAATTTACTCGTACACCTCAGCAGCAAATATTGTTCCTGGGAGGTGTTGTGACGGCTTCGGAAAGCACGGCGAAGCCTCCTGATTCCCTAAAGGAGCTGAAGAGATTCCATTCAGTCAGAACATGATCGGTCCTTCTAGAATATCAACGTGTCATGCTACGATTGTATAATTGCATAACTTTTCTCTCTACAGATTGGCTGAATAATGATGTTATAGCCAATACTAATAACTTTAAATACTCACGTTTTTCTGTGCATTTCTGATTCTTATCCAATAATCACTTCCCCTGTTTCTTCCGTCTTCTGATTTGCGACTGTATGGTTCTATACGTTCGAGTACCGTTAAATGTATATCGTATTCTACTGTAATCAAATCGACAACGTAACAATTTAGTTTCCACATAAAATTTTACCAAGCAGTTTGTAGTGAAAATAAGCGAATATTTATGAGTTGTTCGATCTAATAATGCTTGTAAATTATTCAATACCTCTCCATCTTAATAAGTGCTTGTCATAAAACATCTACAAAATTGTATTTAATGGTCTAGTGATGGACTAACTAATCTTACTTAGTTTTGTATTTAACAAGAATATGTCAAAGGTTCAAGTACTGGAATCAGCAGCTTTATTCTGATTCTGATTAAATGCCCTGGTACGGCCGAGAGCGGGGTGAGTCAGCTCTCCCTCTTGAAATGCTCTCACATGGCCACGTACATACAGCCACTGAAAGGGAAGTCCTATTCACTGCCTTCTCCCGGCGGGGGTGTTCTTTACGGAATTCAGAGGGCAAAAAGTGAATGTCCAGCGCTTTAACCGGGCTGATAGATATGGAGGATCCACTTAGAAAAGTTGGAAAATTCTGATTCCAAATCAATGGTGTACATGGGCTCTAGTATCCTAAGGGAACAAATGGTGTATCAACCTGTTGTTCACCTACTATCATGAGACGGAACCTCCTAACGTCACTCCATTACCTTGTGGATTAGACCTTTAAGTGAAAGGCCCCTCAAGTAAACCATCTGCTTCGGTTTGGGCACCTGGGCAGTATCTCAGCCCTCACACAAATCGTATGATTTATGACATATATCTGTTTGCTGCCCCCTTGTATCAATGTTTATGTGTTTCTAAATAAATAAAACAAGTACCTAAATCAGCATCTATATTCCTTTTATTCCACTTTCTCAAGATCAACCACTGTAGCGATCATAACCTTAATTCTATACATTTAATATAATTATTGTGAATTAATTTATACACTATATTTTTACTATTCTTTGGTTATTGTCGTACTAACAATGATTCATTCTTAGAAGTATCTTAAGTCTGAATTCAGTTTGTATTGTTTACTCGGATCTTCTCATTGTTGTTAAGGACTGCAATTGATCAGTCTCTTATTGGCATATGTGCATACTGTGCTTATTGCCTCGATATAGGCTTAATTCACAAGCATTATAAACAAAGATGAATAGTCTGTTTATTCAATACAAGTCAATATTACTGCTAGTAATGTTGCTTTCTAACAATGTGTTCTTTTTATAAAAGTCATGTGTTTGATTCATATCAAATGGTTGTTAAAATATCTTTTTCTAATTTGTTAAACATTCTATTATAATTTGTTATAAGTTCATGACTTCTGATAGCCTCGTTTGTATACTGATCTATCTGTCTATATAAGTTAACATCTATTTCAATAAATAACATATTTTAATATCAGAAGGGGTTTTTGTGGATATTATAGTAACTTCAGTAGTTGAGATCATAAATCAAGTAAAGCTAGATCACCATGGAAAATCTGGATGACCGTTTCGACCTATTGTGGGACTTCTTAGCAATGCGCATCCATGATCCCGCCTCGCGAGTTTCGAACCTAGGACCTTCGGTCTTAAGAGCAAACGCTTAACCTCTAGACCAATGAGTTAGAAACAGATACAACGTGTAAATATGTCAAATCTGCCTCACAACCACGACATTCAGCAGTGATCAGTGGAGTTCTGTTGTGAGATAGTCACTCGTTGAAGACAATGGTGGATGTGTTGCTCATTTTCGTAGATTAGTTGAAGTTAGACATTAACACCGTTGGATGCTGGCTCAATGGTCTAAATGTTAAGCGTTCGCGTGCGAGACTGATCGGTCCATGGGTTCGAATTTCGCGAGGCGAGATCATGAATGTGCACTGCTGAAGAGTTTTACAATAGGACGAAACAGCCATCCAATGCTTCCAGATTTCCATGGTGATCTATCTTCAATTGATTCATGATCTCAATTATTGAAATTAACATATTTTAAAATGATTATACGGGAGAATTCATATTGAATTGTTTATTTTTCATAAAATTTCGGATCATTCGCTTTTTTTTGTTTTCTTACTTCGATCTATTTATTGGTTCTTTGCGCACATCTTATTGTTCTCATTTCTAGAAACAGAAAAAAAATATTGAAATGATGAACGTGATTAACTATTTCATGTTGTGCTTGTGTGCATTTTGATGTTCATTTGTTATAATAAGCACTATTAAACGTTAGGGTGGCCGCTGATTTTTTTTTCTAATGGACAAGTAACACAATACATTGTGTATTGTGTGTGTGTGTGTGGGTGTGTATGAGCACTCATGTTATTGTGTATCTGAATGCGTGCATTCATATAAATGTGTACACAATTATACACCCAAGCAAAATAATGATTGCTCAATAATGCTTCAATGATAATATTCAATAATAATATGTTTGGATAGACACACACAACTAAGCTTGCTCATATCTTATCGTTTGTTGAATGACATTTATATTTTATGCTTATGGATCATATATTGACAATTGGGCATCATATATACTATTTTAATTAGATAATATAATCGAATTGATGAGATATATTGTATAATTACCATGACTTCTATAATTTAAATTATATTCCATTGTTGCTAAGTCAAGGATATTTTAAGGATAAAATATATTTATAATTGAACAGGGAGATTAAACAATTGAAAAGATTCTCATGTGTATATACCGGTATTATGTTATAAAAAAGTGTTTATCCATCTTAATTTTGGTTAATTTTATTCAATTACAATATATAATCTAATGACTCAACCAAAGACTTCAGATACAAACTGTGATAATCCAATTAATTCAGTCAATCAAAATCTTACTAACGATTTTAGTATTAATGATAGTTTATTTTTATCAACATCTGAAGAACAAGGAAAGTGTGATTATCCATCACCTCAGTTTTTTGAGCATGATTCAAGATCCCAAATAATATCCACTCAAGAATTATCTATTACATCTCCATCATCATCATCACCTCCTATACTTGAACGTCAATTAAGTAAGGAGTGTGTAAAAGAACAAAAATCAGAAACAGATAATAAAAATTCATTATCACCTATTACCTTCGGACTATCATTCAGTTCATCAACGTCGATTAACAGTCAATTACATTGTATTCCTACAAATGTTTGTTCAACAGCTGTTACAAGTGTTACAACTGTTACTTCTGTCCGACGCCCACGTCATAAACCTGCAGAACGACGGGAATTATTAGAGTTAGCCGTAAATGATGTGTTAGGTTCTCAGATATCAATGAGACGTGCTGCACAAAAGTATAACTTAGCAAAATCATCACTATGTGATTATGTTCGTAAAAATGGAATTATATTACCTAATTTACGTTTTAAATCTTATCAAACTATTCCAAGATCAACAGCCACTGATTTAGCTGTATCAAGTAAAAAAGTTACCTTATCAGGAAATACAAATCGTCAAAATTCGGCATCGTGTAAACGTAGCGGTTCACCAATGTCTGGTGATACTTGTATATCATCCATGAGTCCTTTACCAGCAAAATTATCATGTGGTATAACTCGTAAAGTGAATATTACTCGAACTAAGAATATAGATAATAATAATAATAATAAGCAACACTCGAAAATATCTGCAAGACCAGTTATTCAAATGGACAACTTATCCCTCGGAGTAGATAATGACAGAACTGTTTCATTAGCTAGTAATTGTGACTTAAATTGTATTCGTTCACTTATATCATCTGAAAAGACTAGTATTGATTCTTGTCCAAGTGAATATTGTTTATCAAATCAACATCATACAAATAATCAAAATAATCTATTTAGTGTATCCAACATATCTAAGTGTTTTACAAATGTTATCTCTTGTAAATCATCAAATCGTGTTGAAAGTCCTTGGTATAATGCTGCTGGACTTCCTACTCAAGTACCTATGCGTTCATGGACAAGTACTAATACATTAAGTGGTTCATTACAAAATATAAATCAACAAGAACAACCAACAATAAATATAAAAAATACATCATCTTTTATTTCATCTAATAATAGTCTATTTAATAATCATCTACATTCTAATGTAGAAGATTCATTAAATAATAATTTATGCCTTAGTAAATCAAAACTAAATCATTCCAATGATTCAATAACAGATTGTTTACATGTTGCTAATTATTTATTATCTAATGAAACGAAATCACTTAGTGATGAAGTAAATAATCGACAAAATGATTGTTGTTGTCCAATTAATTCAAATAGTCTAAATATAACTACAAATTTTCCAGTTGATTCTGTAAGTATATTTTGACAATTCAGGTCTCCCCTTTCACAGTATGTATCTATGTATGTATGTGTGTATGTATGTATGTATGACTTTTCAATGGTCAAAATAAAAAACACCCTCTAGAACTTTTACGTAGTGATTACATTTCATTGCAGTTTACCAATGATCATTTGTTTATTCAATGTATGTGTATTTCTGTGTTTTTTTTTATATACTTTGGTTAGCCTATTTCCCAATTATCATCGGAACATGATCGACGAATATTTTTAAACGAAGAATCTGCCAAATCTTGGATTTTTAACAATTCAAATAGAAATATTAACGGATTATCAGATTCGGAACAATCAAGATCAATTTTAGATAGTACACAATCTCTTCGTAGTACAAACGAATCATCATCTACAGGAGTTTCATATTCACCTCCTACTAGTACTGTTAATTTAGATTCATCAACTAATTCAAGATTTTTAACTACTCCACTTAGTTTATCATCATCTAGTTGTCAGATTTTTTCAGACGAAACTACAAAACTTCCTTTTAAAACTACTCATTCTAGTTCAGATAACACTGATCATATTGGTATACAATCTGAATCTGCGATTAGTAATAATACTGTTACTGATCGTTTTTTGTCGAATTCTACTACAGCATCTGCATTGTGTTCATTTCTTGGTCTTAATTCTATTAATCATATAAATTCTCACTTTTGTCAACCTTCAACTTCAGTTTTTCAATCTAATTTATTACCTATTAATCAAGCGGCTATAGCTGCATTATTGTTGCAATATTCACGAGCTGCAGTTACTGCTTCAACTGTTTCAGCTAATTCTATCAATTCTACTACATTAAATTATACAAATTGTCCTATTGTTACTTCACCTCTCAATTCGTCACAACTTCAAAATCCATTAGATCATTCAAATCAAATTAATAAATCATTCAATCAAATAACACAGTCAATTCCTTCTATACATTTACCTTTCACTACAAAAAATCATTATACAAATTCGGAATTTATTAATTCATTGAATTTTTGTGATCAACAAATTAATTTATTGAAACAATTTCCAAAGTTTTTAATTGAATCTAATACTGGGACAGTGTCATCACCAACTGAATTAATTATTCCACCACATTTAACTAATCAATCTGCTGCTCATTCATTGGTATGTTAGTTGTATTGATTCAATTCTATTTATTAATTTGTATTTTATTTCCTAATGAAAAGGTTATACTACTTATATTCTGATTTACGTTCCTATACTAGTTATCTTACTGTTAATATGATGAATATAGAAATTCTTCTACATAACTTCAGATGATTGCAATGTCACCCAACTCTATTTAGATTTAGTAGTTAATGAATTACATGAAAGTTTGTAGACAATTATTGTCAGTAGGTGTATAGTATACTTGTTGAATATGTTAAACAGTTTGGTTTATAGTAAAAATATTCCAGAGATATATTGGCTAAACAATGCAAATACAAAAACATTTGTTGATGTAAATACATAGACATTGGTACGAGGAGGCACCGAATAGATATACGCCACACAAGTCACTTGATTTTTGTGTGAACTGTGATATTACCCGGGTGCCTAAAAACTCAAGCAGATGGTTTTCTTAGTGGGCCACTCCCGAGCCTTCGACCTAAAAGTGTAATCCATAAGACGGTGAAGCAACGTTAGGAGATGCAATCCCATGGTAGCCAATGACGAATAATAAGTTCATACGTCATTTGTTCCGTCAGTGAATCCTTAAACCCATGTACACAATTGGTTTGGAATCATGGTTTTCCAACTCCTCTACGTGAGTCCTCAATATTCACGAACCCAGTTAAGTGCCGGACATTCGATTTTCGTTCTCAATTTCGTAAACAACACCCCCGCGGGAGAAGGTAGTGAGTAGGACTTCCCTGATAGTGGCTGTATACACGTGGCCATGTGAAAGCATTTGAAGAGGGAGAGCTGGCTCTCCCACCCTTCGGCTATACTAAGACATTTAGGTTTGCAGAAAAATCTAAAAGGAAAATTGTTTTGTGTTTTATTTATATATTTATTTCATTTTGATCGTTTATATTCAGTAATATTTCTTCACTAGAAACAGTATTATTATCACTACATTCAATAGACTGATTGAGTTTAGGTAGTAGTAGTATGAGACATTTCTCTATATGTTAGAGGATTATGTCAATGAAACTATGAGGTGACCTATTATGGAAAACAGTTCCTAGGAGATATTATATGAAGTTTAATGTTAGTTGTCTCATATTATCTAATGCATTTTAATTGTTAATCACACTACATACGACAGTTAAGGTTAAGTTTTTTTAAGACCTACTGCTTCGGTTTGGGCATCTGTGCAGTATTCCAGCCCTCACACACCTTTAATTTCTTAGATATGTCATGTTAGTTAAATAACTGCCAAATTATATATATACACTTATTTACGTATAATTATATTTGAAATAATTTCAGCGACTGAATCTTAAATAATCACAGCATTTCGTCTTATAAATTTGTTTAAACTTCTTCAGGATAATAATCAAAATCAAATTGTATAGAACGTATACCTTCTGAAATGAAATAAGTATTTACATTATGTTATACATTTATAGTTTCAATAGTTGAAATCATGAGTCAATTGAAGCTAGACCACCATGGAAAATCTTGAAGCACTGGACGGCCGTTTCGTCCTAGTATGGGACTCCCCAGCAGTGCTCATCCACGATCCCGCCCCTCCCCCGCGAGATTCGAACCCAAGACCTATCAGTCTTGCACACGAGCGCTTAAGTATTAGCCAACTGATCTGGCCGGCATCCAACAGTGTTAATGTTCAACTTCCAAGTTTTCAATGGTGGTCTAGCTTCAATTGACTCATGATTTCAACTATTGAAATTATTAAAATCTCCACAAAACCCCTTTTGATTATACAATTATTTTGTTGTTGTTATTTTCTCATTATATTCAAAATGCTTAACAAATTCAGAAGTAACACTAGTAATGTGATTTCAATGATGAATATTTGTATTGAAGTTTTTATCAAGTTAGAATAACTTCATATCTTTTCCACTCATTTACATGTACTCATTGATCTGTACAAATACATAAACAATGTTTTGCAATTGTAATTTTATGTGAAACATGTAAAACAAAAGAAACAATTGATTTAGTTCACTATTGAAAAAGATAATTATAAATACTTTCCATATTGATGTAGATTTAATAGATAGATGAACGGTTAAATGAGAGAGAGAGAGAGAGCGAGAGAGATCATGATGTGATCGGATATAAGAAAAATGTGCAGATTGTTATGATTACGGTAGTATTATTATTGTTTACTTAAACGTATAAACATTGGTACAAGGATATATGCCACATAATCATTCGATCTATATGAGCGCTGGAATACTGCCCGAGTGCCCAAACCGAAGCAGGTGGTTTTCTTAGGGGGCCACACCCCGAGCCTTTGACCTAAAGGTTTGATCCACAAGGCAATGGAGCAACGTCAAGAGATGCAGTCCCATGGTAGCCGGTGACGAATAATGGGTTTATACGCCATTTGTTCCCTCAGGATACTGGAGCCCATGTGCACTATTGGTTCTGAATCATGGTTTTCCAACTTGTCTAGGTGGACTCTCCGTGTCCACCAACCCAGTTAAAACGCTGGACGTTCGCTTTTCGTCCTCTGAATTTCGTAAACAACAGTAATGCCGCGAGAAGGTAGTGAGTATGACTTCCCTGTCAGTAGTTGTATGAACGAGACCATGTGAGGGAATTTGGAGACGGAGAGCCTACTCTCCCCACTGATTACGGTAGACTATGTGATGGCGATGGAAATTACCAAAAAATAGTTGTGAATCAATCATATTACTTGAGATGAATAAAACACTGGTAATTAATAATAATATTTGGAGAGGATTTGAGAAAATGGAAATATTTAGGTATCTAGACTGATAGTTTATAATATATTTTACTGAACTATGTTTAAATAATACGACTAGCTATGGTAAATGTAGATTATAAGTGAACAATAAAAATGTGACCACATAAAGATGATGGCAAGTAAACAAAGTAGGGGAAATAAAGGAGGCGAAGTACAGCAATAAATCGGTCACCATGACAGGACCATGTGAAACAATTTCTTTTTGGATACACATAAGCTTGGTTTTAGACGATGAAGACCTACTGCTTCTGAGTAACTTCAAAATGTACCATCATCCTATCAATTTATTATTCGAAAGGCAGTGTCAGGATCTAAATTAAATTCTTTGGGATGTATTCATAGATCCTTTTAGGTAGTATCCTTTCTGTTCTTTCAATACATGTGATAGTGCATGTACGAGTAAGTATATGGATACATTTGTAAGTCCCTAGAGGTGACCTGTTATCCAAGTTATATCTTCTGAATAGTCTTTTATGTTCCATACATGATTATCAAGTCTGTGGCAGAAAAAGGCAATGAACTAATTGCTCTTAGTGGACGCCTATTCTGGGGACAGTGGGTTATCGTTACGTCTAATTTATTGACCTAAAGTTTTTTATTTATGAACGTTGTGGATACTCAGTCTCGGTTAATTAACTTTGAAGAGTTTTGTAATTTGTTATCGATAGAATCTTCAAAACATAGTTAGTTTATCCTTAAGAACGGAGTTCTCACAAAACTTCTTTTATATATGATTGGATGGAAGCTATTAAATTGTTCATGAAGTCTAACGGTATATGGAAAATGAAATGGAACCGTCTTCGTTTTTTGTTGTCGTTAAATTTACGAAACTCCACTAATTTCATACTGCATCCTCTCACGTGGATTTTAGATCTACATAAGCTGTATTGAAACAGGTAACATTGATCAACATGATCTCTTTTATCATACATGATGAAAGTATCGTCGATATATCTCAAATAGAGTGAATTTGTTTACTCATATGCTTCAGTTTGGTGTTTTCTAGTTCCAGAAAAATATCAGCGAATGTAGGGTTTATTTAGCTGCTTGTTTCAAGACCTGTTTATCGGTAGTACTTTTCGTTGAATTAAAACTGCTCATTCTTTATGCATAACAGTAATTACTCTTTCAGTCTCTTCTTTGGAAAACCAGTCATGTCATCACGACTAAATATGATGTCAGTAGTCTTTTTTAGTGGGGATTTAGTTAATAAGCTCTCCACATTAAAAGAAACCGTATACTTTCTGTCCAAGTTAATGCCGTCAGTTTTGTTAATAAAGTTGAAACTGTCTTTCAGACTGTATGCAGACATTTTTCCATTATGAGTAAGCCACCGAGCAGCGTTATGATACGTTGGATTATTCATTACTAGGATCGGTTGTAGAGAGATATTAGTTTTTTTAGTCTTGGGTAGACTATACAACTTCAGTATGTAAGAACCTTTTGCATTTGTTAGTTCGACAACTGAGGTTAATAAGTGCCTCCAAAATCGATGGTCTAATGCTAGTCTTTCAGCTGAATTGATCGAATCGATAAAACAGATATTCTGAGCAATATTTTAGACCCTGTTCGACTACGTCATAGTCACCGTGTACTTTGGTACAATCTCATTTATATGTTAACACAAGCATTTTAATTATGACCTCTTCAAAGTAAGCTAAAACTGAAAACGGCAATGTGCTAAATTAAATACCCCTGAACATCTTTGAACATGTTTTAAAACTATTTTTGAGATTTCCTCTTGAAATTGAATCTTTATTAGAAACTGTCATACATTTAATCAATTCCGGAGAAGTACTTAGTGTTAAAGTGTTTTGTGCAAGCAATTATTTATCATTAACCGTTAAATTAGAAAACAGTTATTCTCATTAGTTTAACTCTATAATAAAGGTCTTCTTAAATTAATAAAGATTTTACCTTCTTACGGTAAATCACTTGTAATTTGTACCTTTTATAAATTTAAACCAAACGAAAATGGGAATATTTGCTCTCAAATCCCCTGATACAGCCAAGGAGGGGAAGAGTTCACTCTCCCTCTCCAAATGCTCTCACATGGCTACGCGTATACAGCCACTACCAGAGAAGTCCTAATCTTTGCCTTCTCGCGGCATCACTGTTTACGAAATTTAGAGGACGTAAAGTGGACGTCCAGCACTTTAATCGTGTTGGTAGATGTGGAGGATCCACATAGAGGAGTTGGAAAACCATGATTCTAAACTAATGGTGTACATGGGTTTAAGGATTCACTGACGGAACAAATGACGTATGAACTTATTATTCGTCATTGGCTACCATGGGATTGCATCTCCTAACGTTGCTTCACCGTCTTATGGATTAGACCTTTAGGTCGAAGGCTCCGGGAGTGGCCCCCTACGAAAAACCACATGGTTCGGTCTGGGCACCTGGGTAGTATCGCAGTTCACACACAAATCAAGTGACTTATGTGGCGCACATGTATTCGTCGCCCTTTTGTACCAATATTTATGTGTTCAAATAAATAAATAAATAAAGCAAAATACAATGTATTCATCTTATTTTGTTGCTTTCTCTTCAGCTACATGCATACAAGCTAGTTTTTGTAATTATTTTCACTTAATAACATAATTTATTAACAAATAAATTGTTAATGAATTCCGTAATCCTTTTATGGTGTATGAGTAGGTTGGAAGAAAGCTAGTGGCGGTCAGACCAAAACATGGTACAAATCCATGAAGTCACTAAGAAGTGGACTAAGCCATGTTAGTAGGTGTAGACTACCTAGTTGTGATCTGCGAGACGATAGCAACCGATGTCAATAGCTCGAAAGAATTAAATATATTAGCTTGTATATAGCTGAAGAGAAAGCAAAAAAATACAACTAATTTCACTGTATTCTCTAAATATTATCGCCTTTTTTGGCGACCTGCTTGAATATCTAGGCTACCTGTTCCGGTTATTTAGATATTTCATCAAGTGATCTTTTATGTTTGTTCTAACAGATCATTATGTCAGTTAGTTGCATCAGTTATTCATGTTCGTTTCTAAAAAGTGTACAACCTTTCATTGTACAAGTTACAAAATAGTACAATCAGAGACATCGTGGTTGCTGGCAGGCAATATGCATTAAAAACAATGTACATTATTCAAATGTCGATTGTTGAACTGTTAACATCTAACTGGCGATCACTCAAATATTTACCATTAGGATCGATCAAGATATAAGAAACAGAAACTTGTTGAAATACTTTGTGCTGAGAATTCTATATTGTACCCAAAATATAATATTGAATAATGCTAATAATAATAAGAAATTTAATTGTGTTATGTAACTCAAACTGAGTTTCTATCAACTAATCGTTACTATTTTGTTTCTACGGAAAAGGTTGATTACATGATGATGATGATTTATGTAATCATTGAACACATTGACAACTACTAATAAATTTTATTCTTAGTAATAACTAATATAGGCATTTTATTTTATTTTTAACACATGGATATTGGTACAAGGAGGCACAAAATACATATGCGCCACACAAATCTCATTCGATATGTGTGAGGGCTGCGATACTGCACGGGTGCCCAAACCGAAGCAGATGGTTTTCTTAGGGTGCCACACCCCGAGTCTTCAACTTGAAGGTCTGATACACAAGGCAGTGGAGCATCGTAAGGAGATGCAGTCCCATGGTAGCCGGTGACGAATAATGGGTTCATACGCCATTTGTTCCCTCAGGATACTGGAGCCCATGTGCACCATTGGTTTGGAATCCGGTTTAAGCGCCGGACATTCGCTTTTTGTCCTCTCATTTTCGTAAACAACACCCCCGCTACGAGAAGGCAGTGAGTAGGACTTCCCTGGCAGAGGCTATATACGTGTGGCCATGTGAGAGCATTTTGAGAGGGAGAGCGGACTCTCCCCACTCTCGGCCATACCAGGGCATTTGGGGGCAATGCAGGCATTAATTATACAGTTTAGTTAATTGGACTGAAGTTCAATGAATTTCGATTCATAGTGTAGCGCTTTATCAGTTTAACACGTAGACATTTATCACACTTCTTTGGTATATGTAAGTAGATAAATAGATAGTGTTACATTTCTGCTTCATGTTATTTTGTGCATTATATTTCAGGTTTCCAATTTATTTCCTCAAATATTTCCTTTATACATGTTTTTATATAGAGGCAATTGGCAAACACTTTATTTTGGAGTTCACTTGGTTCTAAAGCTATAGATTTACTTTCAACATTTGGACCGAGCATATTACAACCACCATCATCATCATCAGCAGCAGCATCACAAGAACAACGGATTAATTCAGTAAATTTATCAAATTCTTCATCAATTCATACTAGCACAACAACTATAACTCCAACACCTATAGCTGTAACAAAAAGTGGAATAAAAGATTTTCCTATAAATCTACTGAATAATAATAATAATAATATTGACAATCAAATTAATTGTTGTAGAAATATCGAATCTGTCAAAGTTCATCAACCGATTACATCAATATCAACAACAAATAATCCATCTACTTTATTATTGAATAGTGATTTATTAAGAAATCAATTATTTTTACTTCATTCCACTAATTCTAACATGTCACATCATGTACAAGGTCTTATTAATTTTATAAATAAATCACCAACACCATTTCATGGTAAGTAAAATAGTGTATTATATCTTGTTTACATATTATAGTTGATCTGATTATTTTAATGAATATTATCATTTAATATATTCTTTTCGAATATAAGCCCCCAAATGCCCCGGTATGGCCGAGAGTGGGGAGAGTCCGCTCTCCCTCTCAAAATGCTCTCACACGGCCACACGTATATAGCCTCTGCCAGGAAGTCCTACTCACTGCCTTCTCGTAGCGGGGGTGTTGTTTACGAAAATGAGAGGACAAAAAGCGAATGTCCGGCGCTTAAACCGGATTCCAAACCAATGGTGCACATGGGCTCCAGTATCCTGAGGGAACAAATGGCCTATAAACCCATTATTCGTCACCGGCTACCATGGGACTGCATCTCCTTACGATGCTCCACTGCCTTGTGGGTTAGACCTTTAGGTCAGAGGCTTGGGGTGTGGCCCCCTAAGAAAACCACCTGCTTCGGTTTAGGCACCCGGGCAGTATCACAGCCCTCACACAAAAGTGTGGCGCATATATATTTGGTGCCCTCTTGTACCAATATTTATGTGCTCAAATAAATAAATACATAAATACTTCGAATATCAAAAAGTTCCCATTTGATGGTTGGGCCTAGAATTGGCATATCATGCATCCTGTGCGGATTTTCTCAATATTGTCAGTAAACATATATGCATTTTAGGCAGAGATAAATCCAAGATGTGTGTTTTGTCCTATTTATCACTTGTCAGCTCAATTCACCTGTACAACAATGTTAATTTTTCAATTCCACTGCATAAATGAGTTGAACTGTGTTGTTGACTTAAATTGTATTAGTAGTATTAGTATGAATAAACTAGTTTAAACAAAATAATATTGAAATACACTGAATACATTTAGAACAATTTCACATTTTACATGAAATGGTAATAAAATTGTTACAGAATTAATAACTCCGACCGTTGTTGCTACCTTGATGTGGTGGTCAGGCTTGCCTATTGTGATGAACCAATTGAGCTATACTGGCTGGGACAATCGTTCCTCAAGGTCCTACCATGCCAGATAGGTTGGTTGAAGAGCGGTACGACTAAAAGCAGCAAACCGAAGGTCCGAAAACGAAGTCGTACTGCTGGCCGTACAGAGGTGTGACGGCAGTATTGGTGTTCCCTGCAGACAAGCAGAATAACAGCGATGCTGCCTTCTCACAAAAACGGGTGGGATTAGAAAAGGTCGAACCTAAAAATGCACACCTTGCCTTACCCACAGATATCCGTCTCCGGCGGTAAGATCTCAACGATTATGGAGCTGACACGAAAACTATTCACAAAATGGTCGTGTGTGACCGACCTCAAGCAGTTGTCCCTTGGGCACTTCAGTCATGCTCTCAGGTCACTAAGACCACCTTCAATCCAATTTTCTTTTCAGGTACCTCCAGAAACACCCTTCCATGATGTGGGCAACCGGGAAGTGATAACCGCCCTCATACCTCTAGCAGCACTCAGAATTAATAACCATAGTTACCTTTTTTTCTTCTAGTTATAACTGTATTATAATGTAGCATATAACTACTTAATTTCAAATGATCACATTTATTTATTTCAGTGTATATTATAATGTGTAACAGGGTTATCAAACTTATTCTTTTCTTTCTTTTCTCTCTCGCTCTCGCTCTTATCTTGAAAATGATATCTAGAATTTAGTACATCTTAATAATTTTCGAATGATTTGTATCCAAGTTAGAGATTGTCCATTAAATCAGTAATTTCATTGCAATTCATAAATTTCGTTAATGTTTCGTCTTTTTTCTTTTCTCTTTTTTTTCTCTCTCTCTTTCTCTTTATTCTTTTTTCTTTACGTTCTTATGTGTTTTATTGTAAGTGCACATTTAGTTCTAAGCTTTATATATATATACTGAACTCTACTACTACTGCTACTGCTACCACTACTACTCAATTCTTGGTCAATTTAATGTATGGTATATTTTATCTACTTATTATTATTATTATTATTGACTAAGGTTCTGTAGAAAATCATACTGTTTACTGTTTATTCTTGACTAAATTTACGACTATATTTATTTGTTGTGGTATATATATACACTTAACAATACTCTCATACTGTATATAAATTTTTACATTAGAATGTTCTCATTTACTACTACTGAACTGATCATAAATTATGTAATAAAAGAAATAGAGGACAATTATAGTTGAAATTTTGATATGTTTCTTTCTAAACTATCTATCTATCTATCATTTTTCTTTTTCTTTTTCTTCTTTTTTTCTCTATACTTTCATTACAACATGATTTTTCTTTTCTTTTCGTTTCTTTTCTTTTTTCAGAGTAACTTGATGTTTATATACAAACATATTCGTTTGTTTTCTTTACAATAATAAACAACAACAGGTTTAAACCTGTTAATATATATATATATATATATAGAAAAAAAACAACAACAACATTATAAGCCGTAATTATGTTTTGTATTTTGTGAAAATGACAGTAATCATGATAGAGAATAAATAACATTGATTTCACTATTGAGTTATTAAATGAGATCAGTTTATTTTACTACTTAATGTTTTAGAAAGTAGTCGTACTTACTCACACACACACACACACACACACACGCAAACTTCACTCTTGGAAAAATGAGCTAGTTGATAACATGTATAGAGTACTCCTAGTAGTACTAGTAGTAGTATAAGAACTCAGGTATAGCAAACTAATTTATTGTCTTATGCAATATTACAAAGTGCCGTCGTGAAATATGAAAATTATACATTAAATACATTATTTATATATCTTCCATCATTTATCCTTGATATACTTCATGATTCTTTTAATTCTGTTGTTATTCCAATTGTTCTCTGTTTCCATTCTTGTTCTATTTAATTCAATCTTCTTGTGGCAGACATTTCACTTCTAATTACTGCTACATACTACTTATATCTGTCAGGATATATATTGCATACACCACAGTATTAGTAGTAATAGTAGTAACGTGAACGTGAAAACAGGCGGGGATAAACAAATGTATTGTAATAGTTAAATTCATGAGTCGATTGAAGTTAGATCACCATGGAAAACCTAGAAACACTGGACAGTCGTTTCATCCTAGTATGGGACTCCTCGGCCGTGCACACCCTGTCCCTCATGCGGGGTCGTGGATGCACACTGCTGATGAGTGCATTACTAGGACAAAAAGGCCGTCCAGTTCTTCTAGGTTTTCCATGGTGGTCTAACTTCAAGTGACTCATGAATTCAAATATTAAGTTATTCAAATCTCCACAAAACCCCCTTATGATAAAAATGTATTTTAATACAAAAATATGAAAACTATACGTTCAATACTACCTTTGCAAATCCTCCATCAATTGTCTTAAACGTCACCGTTTCTTCATTTCCATAACAATTATTCTCTGTTCCCGTTCTCTTCGACTCGATCTTCCCAACTTTCTGTTACTAAGCCTTCCACTTCGGACTAGCGTTATATACTACTTATATCGACATAAGTAACACATACAACAGTAGTTTACATTTAATTACATTTCTGCTTCAATTGTTGCCATTAGTTTCATTGAATATGATTTCTATGATAATGAAAATTATAAATTCGATTTGTGTAAACTTTTTATTAGTTTGTTCTTTATTTGGTTCATATCAGAATGGGTTTTGTGGATATTATAGTAATTTCAAAGGTTGAGATCATGAGTCTAGCTTCAATTGACTCATCATCGCAATCATTCAAATTACCACTAAACTCCTTCTGATATGAATCAACATATGCTCACTAGGGACTGGTTTTAAGAGGTATTTTCTGGAGTTCTAGTGAGAAACAGTGACTACTTGAGTTCAACCAGGTCTGTTGTGAGATAGTAACTCAATGATGACTATGGTGGATATGTCAATCAATTTCATGGATTGATTGAAGTTAGAAATTAACACCGTTGGATGCCGGCCAACTCAATGGTCTATAATTCAGGCGCTCGTGCGCGAGACTGATTGGTCCATGGGTTCGAATCTCGTGAGACGAAATCATGGATGTGCACTACTAAGGAGTTTGACAATAGGATGAAACAGTCATCTCAACCATTGAAATATTCTTTATTTGTTAATTTTTTTCTTTCATAAAGTATTTCTTATCTAACCGTGATATACTTATACCTTGTGTAAGTTGTAAGATTAAAATACCAGTTTTTGTGTTTCATTAAAAGTGTTCTTCAATTTCACGATCTGAAAGAGATGGGGTTTTTTGTTATTAAAGAATTCTAGCAATGATTAGAGCAAGATTTTAACGATAGAAAAAAAAATTTAAGTACACCATTTAAAACTAAGTGTACTTATGATGTTTACATCACTTAGAAAAAAAAGATACCATATAAACTGTATATACTAATCATTTAATACAACTGTTGTGATACAGTACACTATTTCAGAGATCAAGCGTTGAAAATTATTATCAGAAAGGAGGGGGTTTTGTGGATATTACTAAGTAATTTATAGTTGAGATCATAAGTTCATTGAAGCTTTCAGTGTTTCCAGGTTTTTGCATGATGGTCTAACTTCAATTGACTCATGATCTCAATTAATAAATTTAAAATTATCATTATATAAATCTGAAAAAAAACCCAGGTCAAATTCATAAAAGTAACTATCTGTTACCATTTTTATGATCGTCACTTGTACAATATTTGTTTAATTTTATTTTAGTCTTTATCAGTATAGGGTTGTGGAGATTATTAAGTTTTTGATTTAGATTATGAACTGATTGATGTTATACCACCATTGAAAACTGAGAAGTACTGGACGGCTGTTTCGTCCTATTATAGGACTTCTCAGCAGTATACATCCACCATCCCGCCTCTCGGGATTCAAACCCAGGTCCTCCAGTTTCGCACGCGAATGCTTAACTTCTAGATCATTAAGCCGGCTGGCATCCAATGGCGTTAATGTCTAACCTCAACCAATTCATGAAATTGCGCGACCATATTCTATTGTACTGAAGTAGATACCTATCTCTAACGACACGGATTAGCTCCATTGGTCACTAGTGCTCACATACTAATTATCAATGTGAAGTTGTGGAGATTATTAAGTTTTTGATTGTTCTTCAAATATATCAATTATTCAAGATGAGATTTATAAAAGTTTATATCATCTGATATAGTAGAAAAAATGTCATGTTTCCAATTTATTAATTCTTCCAACTCGTTATTTATCCAATGTTTATCATTTGAATATTATGATACATGGTTTACGTATATATTCACTTTCATTTATATTTCTCTATTTGTTGTTGTTGTTGTTTGAAATGGCATATTATGAAAGAAACCCTTAGGCTGCTCCATCAGTGTTGTTGTCGTTGTTATTTGAAATGGCATATTATGAAAGGAACATTTAGGCTGCTCTATCAGTGTTATTGTTGTTTGAAATGGCATATTATGAAAGGAACATTTAGGCTGTTCTATCAGTGTTGTTGATGTCGTCGTCGTTGTTGTTGTTGTTTTCTTCTGTATTAATAATGAATATAAAACATTTAATTCCATTCGCCTTAATATATATATCTTAATGATCACCATTCACTATTCACAATGGATATTCAATTTCTTTGAATGTATTCAATTTGATAAAAGATGAAATTCTTCATTATGGTGAACATTTCTACTTTCAATCTTGATTTGTTTTTTTTTCTTATTATTAAAACAATCTGACACAATTAATGTATTTGAAAGATGCATAGATACATAGATGGATAGATGGATAGATAGATGTACCGTTTTTTGTTTATTTTATGTAAGTATGCATAAACAGTTTTACTTGCCAAATAAAAGTTAATATACAAAACAAATTTAACACTTTGATATATTACATTAGAAATAATAAATAAAAAAAATACATGGTTATGTTAATGTTTGTCTAATGTGTAATAATGGTAGATGTATATCTATATTCTCATTGATAGTTTATTATTGTCTAGTCAACATACTATTGATTACTGTGTTTAGTTTGCTTTCACAACTGATCAGTATGGTTATTGTGTGTAAAGGATATATATAAACTATACAATCAGTTTGTATGGTACATTCAATAATTGTTGTTGTTGGTGGTGTTGGTGTTTTTCTTCTTCTTCTTCTTCTTCTTCTTCTTTCTGGAAAACAATTTACTTCATCGATAAATAATGATTTGTCCTGATTGTTAATGTTTAGGAAACAATGTATGTTTATGTAATAAAAATAAATGTTTAATAATGATTTCATAAGCATGTTTTATATACATATATATCATTACTTACTCTTACTTACTTACGCCTGTTACTCCTCGTGAAGGAGCATGGGCCACTCACCAACATTCTCCATTCGACCTGTCCTAGGCAATCCTTTCCAGCTCTTTCCAGTTGTTATTCATCCTTTTCATATTTGCTTCCATTTCCCAACGTAGTGTGTGTTTTGGCCCTCCTCTTTTCCGCTTCCCTTCAGGATTATATATATATATATATATATATATATTAGATTTTAACTGTCCATTTTTGGCATCTATTTTAAATTGTTATTTCTTATACATTATGATTTCAATTATCCATACATTTATAACTTCAATGAATACAAATATTTTCTGAAACTGTTCCTTCCTAAATTTAAATATATAATAATTGAATTCATATGTCAATTGAAGCTAGACCATCATGGAAGCACTGGACGGCCGTTTCATCTTAATATAGGACTTCTCAACAGTGCGTATCCACGATCTCACACTAAAAGAATTCGAAACAATCATCTTACTATATATAACTTATCTTGTCACTTTTGTCAACGCTAATAGTATCAGTGATACTCAAATCTGTCATAAATTCGTAAATTGAATTATCAAGTATCTTTGATGGTGAGACTATAATTTGTGAATGACCTTTGAGCAACATTAAAGTGATCTTAAGAATGTCCTTCTATTTATTAGAGTCAAAGATAGGTTATAAATATGCGAAAAAAAGGATTATGGTTTACAGTTGATGGTTAGGGTTAGGAATTAGATTTATGGATTTTATCGCGAATTGACCTCATCTATAATACCAAAACACTATTTAGCTAAATGGATGAATGTATTTCGCGCCAAAAATTCAAGACCTGTTATCCGAAATATGATTATTTTGTTCATAAATTATAGTATTGCCTCTTTGATTAGTATTACTAGGTATTCATACTAAATTTGTTGGCTCCGTCTTGTTCCTATTCAAATTACCATTAATTACACATAGATTATTACGGTATACTTAAAATATCTGGAGACGTTGTGGTACATAATACTTGACTAGTAATCACAAATTATGTGTAAAGATGGATAGTGGCTAGCAATGGGATCCATGACGCGTGTTTCGTCTTATTTGGGACTCGTCAACTGGATGTACCTGCAACTCAGAGTTGATGTTCACTCTAGAAAAGGTCATAAATTATAACAGGATGCACATATGTCAATAAGAGACTGATCAATTGCAATCCTAAACATCAATCAGAAGATTCAAGTAAACAACATCAAGTGAATTTAAAACTTCTTCCAATACACAAGCAGGTGGCTATCACGACTCAGTAGCTAAGTGGATAACGCGATGGTGTTTGAAGCGAACTGTACTGGGTTTGTGTCCCAAAGTGAACATCAACTCTGAGATAAAGGCACAAACATCTGACGAGTCCCAAATAGGACGAAAACGCGCATCCTGGATTCCACTACTAGCCACTACCCATCTTTCCTTAGAACACTTGTGACTTCAGGCGATATCAAGGTAGTCCGCACAGTATGCACATATGCCAACAAGAGACTGCTAAATCGCAGTCCTAAATAACATTGGAAAGGTACAAGTAAACAACACCAAGTCAATTTAAATTCTATGCAATAATTGAACAGTGTTACAAATCCGCATATAAGATGTAAATCAAAAGTATATTAATGATAAGTCTATGAATAGTAAATAAGGAAAATGTTAAAAATAGACGTCCAAATATACTTTTATTCAACATGGTAGGTCATTAGCTTCTTGGCATAAATTGTTAAATGCATCAGGGTCATTGCATTATATTTTGATTTACATCGTGTGAGGTTTTCAGTTTCATCAATCATACTTTTTATGATTTTTGAAATGATCTACTCAACATTTAATCTTCTGTAATAGAGTATTAAAACATTCAGTCTTCTAGATATTTTCATTTATTCGTTTCTTTATAAATTCGCTTCACAGCGATCTATATTTATCTATCTATCTATATCTGTATCACGACTTTAAGTCATGTTCACACTGAAATTTCGTCGATCGAATTCGGTCATTATTAAGGATTTGACAAGTGTGAAATCGGTTACTGTTCAGGAATTAATCAGTACAAAAGATCTCAGTTCTAAAGAAGGTTATTTGTGGCCCAGATAGCTCTATCATAACGTTTGTGATTAGGATACTGAGTGTTTGGGGTTCGTATTACACAAAGAGCATCAGATTCTAGAATATTCAAGATACTTCTTGATGACAAGTCGCGACTAGCAAGAAACCTAGTTTAAGGTCTTCTTAGTGCTATCGTGATGTGGTGTTTAGAATTACCTATTGTAATGATCTGATCAAGCTATATTAATTGGGACACCCATTCCTTCAAGATTCCTCATCAGAAGTAAGATTAAATCAACATTCTTTTATTTACCTGTGTCTCTTTACATTGTTTCGTATTTAAAACTTAACTACAGTACGGTCGTGAATGGGGAGAGTCAGCTCTCCCTCTCCAAATGCTCTCAAGCTTTGGATGTGGCCCCCTAAGAAAAATCACCTACTTCGGTTTGGACACCGAGCAGTATCCGAGCCCTCACATAAATCGAATGATTTATGTGGCGTATATCTGTTTGGTACCTCCCTGTACCAATGTTTATGTGTTTTATATAAATAAATAAATAGATCTAGAATTATATATATATATATATATATATATATATATATTTTTTTTTTTTTTTCAAATCTTCAAGTTATCCAATCAGTGAGGACATTTTTGGATAATCATGGTTTTCGTGAGTTATTCGAAGAAGAATCTTGGAGTTTACGTCCTTTGGATAAGGTTTATATAACGAAAAATGAATCAACTGTAATTGCAGCCGCTGTTGGTGGTCGATTCGAATCAGGCAATGGTTTTACTTTGCTTGGAGCACATACAGATAGTCCATGTTTACGTTTAAAACCGAATTCAGAACGATTAAAAGAAGGATATATTCAATTAGGTGTTGAGACATATGGTGGTGGTCTTTGGTATACATGGTTTGATAGAGATTTAAAATTGGCTGGACGTGTAATTATTCGTAATGCCGAAGGACGTCTAGAACAACGCTTAGTGCATATTAATAATCCAATTGCTTGTGTTCCTAGTTTAGCAATACATTTAAATCAAGAAATTAAAACTCAAGGTTTTCATCCAAATTCCGAACAACATTTATCTCCAATACTGTGTACTAGTTTGATGGAACAGGTTAGTTTATACCTTATTTAACAATAAAGAAAATATTGTTATGTAGTACATTTATGTAACAGGGGTGTTTCTTTTGTATGACGTTAAAAAAAGTCAGTGTGGGGATAGCGTGTGTGACGATCTTGAGAAAAGTCAACCACTTTTTAGGGTCAACAGAAGGTCATAGCTTGATCATAAGGAAATAGGATTAGGACTCGGAGTTCAAAAATAGGGTTAGCATTTAAAGTTAGGGTTTTCATCATGTCAATATGCTATTTTACCATATGGATGATTGAATTTCGTGTCGAATTCTAAGACTGTCTGTCTTAAATCTGACTAGTCCATTCATATATTATAATCTCACCTAATTATCTGTGTGGTACTATTCTTTAAATAATTACAACTGCTTAGTCAGTCATTCAGTCATCTACAACGTAGGACCGATCAGTTACTCCAATGGTAGGAATAAAAAGGATTGCATATAAGGATGTAGTACGGGAAGAAAGAATTAGTTGGTAGAAAGAAAGGTATAAATTAGTTTTATTCTCACAATGTAAGGGAAGACAAAGTGTATACACCAACACCATTGTGATCAATTCTGAGCCATGTAACTCAGCCTCCAAGCACTGGTTACGATAGTCACGCGAACCCCAACCAAGTAGTCTGTATCTATCAACATGGCTAAGAGTAGAAGTTAATAACTTCAAGGACCAATGCCTGCATCTAACCTCACTATTACTTACCCGGTGATCCTAGAAGACGCGAGCAATATTTCTAAGACATCTGTCATTAAATGCTAGTAACTAACGGGTATCCTCTGCCCTCGTACTTAGTGCTATGCCTACGCCCCAATCCACGAGAACTTGCTGCGGGTCGCCAGATAAACGGAGGGTGTGTCTCGTCGGCTCCTCACTTTGGCTAGGTGAGGTCAAGTGAATGACCACACTAAGATCCTGTATGCGTGTTTTGGAGACACAGCATACATCAATGGTATGAGATTCTAGGGTCTTAGCCAAGGAGACTTTCTGGCCGATTTGTCATAGGGTACGTACGTTGAAGGCTCCAATGTATAGTTTGGATAGAGGTTTCAGTAGGCCTGGGACAGTGTTTCGCGCACTAGAATCGTTGACTATGGTGATACTTGATGAGAAAGTCAAAAGAGGATGTTTGGAGTTGATAGTCAAGGTAGGAGGAATAATAGGAATCGAAGAGGTAGATTGATTATGAATACAGTGATTTGAGTGCTGTTAAAGGTTTGAAGGCGGTTATCAATTCTTGGTTGCCCACACCATAAGGTGCCTGAAAATGAAATTGGGTTAGAGTTGGTCTTCGTGACCTGAGAGCGTAACCGTAGTGCCCAAGGGACAATTGTTTGAGGCCGGTCATACATAACCTTTTTGTGAGTAGTTTTCGTGTTGTAGAAATAATGTGTTCTCTCTGGTATTTAATAAACCTCCAGTTATTATAAGTGTTATTTAATTCAAAGAATATTCAAGCAAACTATCGTTTTCAATAACTTCATCTCTAGGGGTCTACCGTTATAAATCCATGAATATTACATTAAATTAGCTAATCTATTAGGGTATACAAATACCAGAACTACAACTGAATCGGTCAGCATTATTAATCATTAATAATTTTCTCGTTAGCGTTTTTTAGCGAGTTAGTTTTCTACGGGATGGGGTCGCTAACCTCATGCCCAACCATCCTCCTTTATCCCGGCCTGGGACCGGCAGTAGCCCTCGGAGGGACTCTAGGCGGAGTTATTAATCATTAATAGTAGATTTCATTTTTTTGAAGTATCAAATGCTTGTCGTGTGAGTTTCTAATAAAGTTGAAAGATCATACAAATCCTTTAAGTTAATATATTATGATCGGTAGAACGAATAATAATATCACTTATATTAAGATAGATAAATGTTCAATAATGATTGTGTTATGTAACGAGGCAGGGTATATATCTAAACCTTGATGTGCTTGAAGTCACTGACTTCTAGTCTGAGCCATGTTGTTAGATGCAAACTACTTGAATGGTGTCCGCCTGACTATCGTAACCAATGGTTGTAGACTCTGGGTGACATGACTCAGAATCTATCACAATGGTGTTGGTGTATACACTCTGTCGTCCTTTAAACTATGAGATTAAAATCGCTTCATATCCTTCTACTTACTAATTCTTTATTTCTGTACTATATCCTTTTATGCAATCCTTCTTTTATGTATTGCCACCACCGAATTAACTACTTCTATGAATCCGGTGTTCATCTCTTTATGCTAATGAGGTATGGCGACTTGGATCGATGCGTATATGTGCCTGGTCTTTCGTTGTAGCTGACTGACTAAACCTAAATGATGATCACGGGTTAGAAGTTTACAATATTAAGCTAACCATTTTGTAATTCATGGTAAATAAGATAGTTGAACACATGTTTCAGTTTCCTCAAGTTGATCCCAATTGTTCATATTATGTAACGAAAATATAGATGTATCATAATCAAAGAATCTTTTTTTGTGTACATTGTTACTTGAGAAAAGTGGTCATCAAGCCTGTAAGCACCACTTATCATTTAGAAAATAATGAACAAGATATCTTGTTTGGTAAGATCCAGAAAACTCGAAAAACGCCAAAAAAGGTTCTGAAAACGCTGAGAAGCATCTTATCCAATGGCGTTCATTAGAAGTTTTGCCAGAAGAATCTAGAATGTGAAAAGTCACATACCGGGTTTCTGATTGTATGATTATCTATACTGCTACCATGTTTAGTAGCGTTCCAGAATTTTCCGGAAACTCAAGGCCATCTGAAATGCTATAAGTACTCTAGATTTTCTGTACATGAACGAACGTTTGGGGTAAAGCGTTTATTCCATATTTTGCGCCTTTTCTCTCGTGTTCAAGTCGCTGTGTAGACTTAGCCTTGGAGTTACTAGAGAGCTTAGGAACCGAATCTAGCGTTCAATTAGAGGACTTATCACTCTTCACAATATATCCTTTTTTAGAATTGGAGGTTTTTGGAGATTGTAGTGATTTTAACAGTTGAATTCATGAGTCGATGTAAGCTAGATCACCATTAAAAACCTGAAAGCACTAGACGGCCGTTTCGTCTTGCGTGTGTGGTCTTAGATACGCTGTGCTCACCAGTCTCGTACTAGGACGACTCACGAATTCAACTGTTAATATTCTCTTTTATTGAACTTCTTTGTGTCTACCAATGCATATTTCCTGTTTAAAATGTCGCTTAATTTAGGAAGGAAGTTGTATTTGTAAAAAATATCAGTGATTAAAATGAAAACAAATCCAACGTTTTACTCAACAGTTTGATTCAAGCTTCTTCAAAGGGGAAATAACCAAACATTATAATTATCGAATATACTATATATAGAGTTCACAATTTAACTGTATACTTAACAAATCGTTCAGTTATATTATGTATACTGAATGTGACTTTATTTGTAGTGTAGATATCAAGACATTTTGTTTAAAATATGGAGAAATTGTGATAAGCTAAGAAATATATGCATTTGTATATGTACATTTTAGAGTTTAGGATTCAGGAAAAGAAAACTAATCACTTATGTTTCTTTAAGTTGGATTTCGAGTCAAATTATTTGAATAGTCAACTTGTGATTTTACTAACCATTTTATTCAAATCAATACCATACCATGTTGAAAGCACCGGTTCTCGTCCGATCACCGCAGGTAAGCAACGTTGGGCCCGGTCAGTACTTGTATACCTTTAAATGCCTTGATACGACCGAGAGTGGGGAGAGTCAGCTCTCCCTATCCAAATGCTCTCACATGGCCACGCATATATACTCACTATCAAAGAGGTCCTAATCACTACATTCTCGTAACCGGGGTGTTGTTTACGAAATTCAGAGAACGAAAAGCGAAAGGCCAGTGCTTTAACCAGGTTGATGAATGTAAAGGATCCACTTAGAGAAGTTGGAAAATCCTGATTCCAAACCGATGGTGTACATGGGCTCCAGTATCCTAAAGAAACAAATTGTGTGTGAAATTATTGTTGGTCACTGGCTACCATGGAACTGCATCCATCCACTACAAATTGATTATAAACTAGAAATTACTACATAGTTGTTTCTTCTCAGTTTAGAACTTATAGTTAATGAGCATACTCAACCTTATTTTCTCCTGCATTACAATTCAGAGCAACATGGCATGACGCATAGGTTAGTATAATTTTACAATGATATTCATTGTCCTATTATATTTTCTAAGAACTTTATGCCTAACAACAACACTAAACAATTCAAATTACGAAAAATTAAAAAAAAGATGATTATGATTAGGTCCTACTTGGTAGTAGTTTGTACTTACAGTTCAGTTGATGAGTTAAAATAGATGGTTTTTCATATTGTTTTTTCTTGTACAGCTTCAAAATCCAACTGCTCAAACTGCCAATACTACTGAATGTGGAAATGATTCAACAAATACATGTTTTAACATATGTCCTATTTCATCATTATCTAATAGAAATCGTCATCCACCAGCTTTGTTACGTTTATTAAGTGAAGAAACAGGTGTTAGTGAACAACAAATTGTGGAGCTGGAACTTTGTTTTGCTGATGCACAGCCTGCTTGCGTTGGTGGCTTGTACAAAGAATTTATTCATGCGCCTCGTTTAGATAATTTGTTTAATTCTTATGCTGGTCTTCATGGTTTCATTGAATCTCTTCCAACTTTATCCTCTGAGTGTAATATACGTTTATTATGCTTATTTGATCATGAAGAAGTTGGATCCACATCAGCTCAAGGTGCAGATTCAGGCTATACTTTGTCTGTTATTCGTCGACTTAATAAAGCATTTGAAATGTGCAATTTATCTGAAACACTTACACCAACTAACAATGCAACTACATCACAGTGTACAAAATGTAATTTAGATTTACATTTTGAAAAATCATTAGCTAAATCTTTTCTTGTATCAGCTGATCAAGCTCATGCAGTTCATCCATCATGGAGTGAACGACATGAATGTCATCATAAACCTCAATTTCACAGTGGTGTCGTATTAAAATACAATGTTTCACAGCGTTATGCTACGAATAGCCTTACTGCAGCGGTTGTTCGTGAAATTGCACATTTGTGTAATGTCCCAGTTCAGGTTTGTATTTTTTGAGTTTTTCGTTGTTACGTAAATTAATCTATATTTTAAGCGAAGATAAATGCTGGTTAGTAGTGAAATCTAGGATGCCCGTTTCGTTCTGTTTGGGACTCGCCAGCTGGATGTACCTTCATCCCAGAGTGGATGTTCATTCTGGGACTATCCAGTACTATTCTCTTCAAACGCTACCACGTTAACCACTTAGCTACTGAGTCCAGATAGTCACTAGCTATTGCAATGGGGTGAATTTTAATTTTCATATATGTATTGATTGTTTGGATCTTCCCATTGATGTTTAGCATTCCGATTGATCAGTCTCTTCTTGGGATAGGTGCATCCTGTGCGGATAACCTCGATATTGCCATCAAGTCACAACGTGCGTCGTGAATTCCACCGATAGCCATTATCCATCTCTTTTTGAAATAATTATGGCTTAATAGGAATATCGAGGCCATCTGCAAAACATGCACATATCCTTAAGAAAGCTAGAGGTGGTCAAACTAAAACGTAGCATCAGTTCATGAAGTTATTAACAGCTTGATTGAATCAATCAATGCCATGGCTCTAGTGCGTTCATTCTTTGTCCTCGTGTAGATTCTGAGCTCTTGAATCCTTCATAACTTTGCTGTTGTTATTTCACGTATTTTCGATAACTAATCTTTTCTATCAGTACTCATACTGTTACTACCTCTAATATTCTGGGATTTAACGTGATAATTTCATCTCTGTGCTTATGGGTTATGGAAACTTGAATCGATATACATATGTACCAGGTTCTACATTGTGACTACTACTACTGATGCCCAGTGGCACTGATAATTTCAGTCCTAAACATGAGTTAAAAGATTACAACAACCAAAACAAATTTAATGATCTAGAATTTTGTGATTTGCTGACGTATACAAATAAACATAGTCGAATCTAACATTAATGAACTATGTAGTCTGTACCAAATCAAAGTAGGTACAACATTGTGATTTCCAATAATTTATTAGGTTCCTTAGATCGAATAAATTTGCGTATCTAGTTTATAGGAATAGAAAAACATATTATTATTTGTTTTAAGAAGCAATACGAAACATATTTATTTATTTAAACACATAAACATCAGCACACAGAGGCAACAAATAGATATACGCCACATAAATCATTGGATTTGTGCAAGGGCTCGGATACTGCCCAAGTTTTCAAACTGAAACAGGTGGTTTCCATAAGGGGCCACACCCAGAGCCTTTGACTTAAAGGTCTAATCCATAAGGCAATGGAGCAACGTTAGGAGATGCAGTTCCATGGTAGCCAGTGACCAACAATAATTTCACACACAATTTGTTTCTTTAAGATACTGGAGCCCATGTACACCATCGGTTTGGAATCAGGATTTTCCAACTTCTCTAAGTGGATCCTCCACATCAATCAACCCGGTTAAAGCACTAGCCTTTCGCTTTTCGTTCTCTGAATTTCGTAAACAACACCCCGGTTACGAGAATGTAGTGATTAGGACCTCTTTGATAGTGAGTATATATGCGTGGCCATGTGAGAGCATTGGATAGGGAGAGCTGACTCTCTTCACTCTCGTCCGTACCAGGGCGTTTGAGGGCGATTGGTAACATAACTATTGTGTATTAGTGAAAAATTCATTAAACAACAGTTACACATTTCTATAAATGTGTTATATCATTAAATCATTTTTGCACAATCTAATGGCCATCTGGTCTCACTGGCTAAGTGAATAAACGCGATGGCGTTTAAAGCGAACGGTACTGGAGTTGTGTCTTGTAATGAACATCAACCATGGGATGCAGGTGGATCCAACTGACTAGTCTAAAATAGAACGAAACGCTTGTCCGGAATTCCATTGCTAGCCACTGCCCATCTCTGCCTATAATGCTAGTGTTACATCATTTCTTAATTACTAGCTAAATAAAAACCAAGATCCAATGAAGACTGAATGAATAAGTTGACTGTAAACATTCAATGTAAATTACAGTTGACCTTTATATTGTCTGGTTATAGACATAACACACACAGACATTGTTTTTTGCGCTTTATCGAATCGGTTTACACTTGAACTGATCATTATCCAGGATCTTATTTTCATTCTAGTTCTAAAGTATTTTGTCGAATTTATTATTTTGTACATTGAAACATTCTTTAACTGTTAATATTCCGATCACATTATACTAGTTCATTTATCTGTTTTTCTTAAAATAGCTTAATATTGGAATATTTGTCCATCAGATTAAAGTACCAATGTTATATTACATGTAGCTATTTGATTACTGTTACTTCAATGTGGTACTGTTTAACTAGGTATTTCATCAGAAGTCGAAATTTTGATTTGCAATTCATTTCATGTATGAATCGACTTTATTGATTTAAATACATAAACATCAGTACAAAGGGGCATCAAAAATATTTATATACATCACACAAATAAGTGGATTTTTATATGGGCTGGGTTAATTCCATATTGCCGGAACCGGAGCAGGTAGTATCCTAGGGGGGGAGCAATCCCGGAGCCTTTGACATACATGTCTAATACAGAAAGCAAACGGGTAACGTTAGGACATGCCGTCCCATAGTAGTCAGTGATGACCAACAGTAGGTTCATACACCATTTGTTCCCTCAAGATTCTGGGGTCTATATGCACTATTGGTTTGGGATGAAGGTTTTCCAACTCCATACCCTTCTACATGGTGAAAGCGCTGTATATTCGCTTTTCGTCATAAGAAGGAAAGAAATAAGACTTTCCTTGTAGTGATTGTATACACATGGCTATTCGAGAACACTTTGAGAAGGAAAGTGGACACCCCACTTTCGATTGTACCAAGGTATTTGAAGGCTCTTTTTCAACAATTCGCAAACCCAAATGTTTTGTTTTCGTTGTTAATAAATAGATAATTGTTCACAAAGTATACACTACATATAAATAGTTATATGTTACACGATTTACTCATAATTAAAACGTTATAAACTTCACCTTTATCTTATTAAAAATGTTATACAAAATTGTGAATATGCAGTACTGAAGAGTCCCATACTAGAACGGAATAGTCATTCAATACTTCCAGGTTTGTCCAATTTGATGATTTTAAGAAATATATATATATATATATATATATATATATATATTATAGTTGAATTCATAAGTCAATTGAAACTAGACTACCATGGAAAACCTGAAAGCACTGAACAGTCGTTTCATCCTAGTATGGGACTCCTCAATAGTGCGTATCCACGATCTCCACTTCACGAGATTTGAAATCAGGATCTATATATATGTATATACTTATTTATAAAACATTGTTTACTTGTATTTCACTTTCATGAATTACCTTTTTTCTCAATTTTATTATTATTTTTTATCTATTCAATTTCATTAGGAATTTGTTTCAAAACAAGATATACATTGTGGTTCTACAATAGGACCATTATTATCATCACAATTAGGTATACCTACAGTGGATTTAGGATTTCCACAATTAGCTATGCATTCATGTAGAGAATTATGTTGTTCAACTAGTATTGAACAAGCAGTACGTTTTTTTTCATCATATTATCAACATTTATCAAAAATTTGGTGTAATCATCAATCATATCATAATGATAATAAACAATTAAATCAATCCTCTCATCATATTTATTTATAAAATTGAATGATTTAAGAGTAAATTATGTAATAAATTCTTTATTCATTGATCATTTGATTACAAATGGGGGTGGAGTGAGGTGGGGTGTAACAGGTTGGATTGAGGTTTCAAATTGTATCGACGCACACACACACACACACACACATCTACAAATATATATTCAAACTATTAAACATTTTTTAAAATTATGATCTAAGGGAAACTTCACTGATTTCTTGATACAAATTTTTTTATCCATCAAAGATTTAAAAAAATTGTTTGGTAAGTTGTTTATTCTTTCTATTCTTATTGTTTTCAAGCTATGTTTGTTTGTTTCTTCTCCGTCTTCTTCTTCTTCTTCTTCTTCCTCCTCCTCCTCTTCTTCTTCTTTTACTTGTTCTTCTTCCTTGGTGAAAGATACTGTTCTCTGTTTTGTTTTGTTTCAGTTTGTGAATATGTTCCAGTTTTCTTGTGTAATCCGCTTATATTCAATTCATTATTTTTCTTTTTAATGAACAACGTTTTCACCTATGAAAAATTTTCATTTCTTCACAGTTATTCAAACTCTATGAAGGTGTTTGCTGGAGAAATTATCCTTCTTCTACTTATTATTAATATTATTTTCATACATTACTATAAAATTCTCTGTTATTTCTTTTGTTTCACGCGCTAACACTTAACCTGTAGACTATTAGGCCAGCATTCAATAATGTTCATGTGTAACTTCAAATCAATTCACAAATTGTGCAACTATCTTTCATTATCTTTGTAGGTTGTTTATTCTTTCTATTCTTATTATTTTCAAGTTATCATGTTTGTTTGTTTGTTTCACCTTCTTCTCCTTCTTCTTCTATGTTGAAAGATATCGTTTTCTGTTTTGTTTTGTTTCGTTTCGGTCTGTGGAAATTTTCCAGTCTACTTGTGTAGTCCGCTTGTATTCAGTTCGCTCTTTTTCTTTCCTTCTTATTTTCATGTTTATCAAGTTCATCTGTTTTCCTTTTGATAAATAAAGTTTTCCTTTCTTCACAGTTATTCAAACTCTATGAAGGTATTTACTGGACAAACCTTTCTTCTTCTTCTTCTTCTTCTTCTTCTTGCTTCCATACATCACCATAACATTCTTTGTTAACTTATCCGTTATTTCTTATGTTCACTGTTATATTTATCAATAGTTAGTTTAACTTATTATCCATTCATTCATTCATTGTATGAAGTACCTGAAGTGAATATTTAATACATAAGAATATGAATTATCATTATATCATTTTCTTCTTTATTAATGAATTATTCCTATTCAACTATTAATGAATAAAACATCTTCAGATATTTATCTGTTTGTTTATTAACTATCCTCATTCATAAAATGTCTTCATGTATTCATATTGTATTTGTGTCAGGTTGGTTGTTTTTTTTTTTTTTGTGTACATGAATTACTATCTCTCTCTTATTCTTAAACTATCTACACGGTTTGTTTTTCGATGTTGCTAACAAATCACATTTTAAGAATTTCTATGTATATCTATTATTGAATAAAGTTTTTTTGTTGTTGTCAGTTATATTGACTCTTTTGTTGTTTTTGTTGTTGTGGTGGTGATGGTGATGGTGGTTGTTTGTTTGTTTGCCTTACCGTATTCATCAATACAGATAGTTATTTCTTATTTGCTTATACTGAATGAGTTTAACTTTAGAATCTTTATAGAAAAGTAGATGAAATATGATTAGTAAAATTCAAGACATGCATTTTATCCTATTTGGTCAGTCAATCAGTCAGCTACAACGTAGAACCAAGCACATATATGCATCGGTCCAAATTGCCATACCTCATTAACACAACACCGGATTCATAAAAGTAGTTCATTCAGTGGTGGTAATATATGAAAGAAAGATTGCATATGAGGATATAGTACAGGAAGAAAAAAATTAGTACGTAGAAAGATATGAAGTGATTTTAATCTCATCGTTTAAGGAGGACAGAGAGTGTATACACCGACGCCATTGTGATGGATTCTGAGTCACGTCACCCAGAGTCTCCAACCATAGTCAAGTAGACCCCAACCAATTAGTTTGCATCTACCAACATGGATAGGACTAGAAGTTAGTGACTTCAAGCACTGATGCAACGTTTTGGTTTGGCCGCCCCTAACTTTCTTCCATCCATCCTCTAAACATTGATAGGCGGATATCTCGCCTTCGCCGTAGGTGGAACTTATTGACTGGATATATAGTGAATGAGAATTTAAGTGGGGATAACCAATTTGTAGTTTTATAAAAAATTTTGCAATATCTTCGTAAAATGTGAAAATCATACATTAAATACATTATTTGTATATCTTCCTTCAGTTGTCCTCTACATACTTCATGACTTAATTCTATTGTTATTCCAATTGTTCTCTGTTTTCATTCTTGTTCTCTTTAATTCAATCTTCTTGTGGCAGACATACTACTTATATCTATCAGGATATATTGCATATACGACAAATAATCCTAGATCCGAATTGAATTCAAAGTCTTTGTTTCTTGAAAATGTAGAAAAGATTTGGATTAGTATTAATGAAACTTATCAAATGGTCAATAATTTGAAGAAATGATATATGTATACCAGTTTGATTTGACTAATGTGAATTTCACTTCTTCTTTCATCTACCTTAGTGGGATAATTCCCATTGTAATTATAGATAGGGTATATAATTTTAACTGTACAGAAAACTTTGTTTTACAGTCAAACTACTTCATGTTCACAGTTTGTGTTAGAGGTAAGTTATTGCACAAAGTAAGTAGGTCGTTTATGAAGCGATTTTTTCATTTTGAAGATATGTAACATCATTGATTTCTCATTATAAAACAACTTTAACTAGAGCCCGAACGTATGCATTCGTTTAACTCGTAAAAGCTTTCAGGATTACTGTTTTGTCTACAAGTTCTCTGTTACTATATGTTCGACAATAGAATCTCAGAATTGGGTAAATTCCAAGTTAAGATCTAACAATTTCTCAAATTTAAAGTTTGTAATGTAGAATCTAGCACATTTAAGTATCAGAATAGTAGAAGTAGTAATAGTATTAATAATAGTTGAGATTAGGTATAGACGATATAATTCGGAGATAATAAATTCATGGATTAAGAAAAATAGTACCGAGATAATTTTGAAACTCAAGATCTTATGAAAGACAAAAAGTTTAGCTACCTGATCCTTTCGGACCGAACCATGAACCATGTCACCTAACGTCTTGAACTATCGGTTACGACCTTAGTTACATAACATGAACCTCCCTACGTGTTTCCATCTGTAAGTGACTTCATGGATTAATACTACGTTTTCGTGTGGCTGTCCCTAGTTTTCCTCTAACCCATTCCCATACTAGTAAATATCGAATGTCAAAGTAGACAACAGTTGGGAATATATAATACGTGTCTAAACTACCTCAGTTAGTGAAAATTCACTACCTCATCAACCAATATAGTCATTCGATGATCCTAACGTGCTTAAGTATATCCTTGAAGGGGTATGTGATCGAATACTAGTAAAGTACGAATATCTTGTATTTTTAAACGTCACGTTTCACATATATAAAGTAAAATAAAGCGTACTGAACAGCATACAAATCCTTTACTTAGCAGATGAACACCTCGTGTACGCAATAGAAGTTGGCAAAAGCGTCAATATTTTGTTAAACATCAATGCACCAGGGCGTTGTTTCTCAGAGTGACTTGAAGATTCGGCACTTTTCCAGGGTCTTCATCAAACAAGGGTATATCGCCTGTGTTCTACGTCAACAAATGATTCTTCTAGTGAGACACCAATTTATAGAATACCATGCAATCAGAGGGTTATCTCCTATGGAATATCTATGGTATAGTTAGATAAAAATGAAAGCTGACAACCTAAATGGATATCACTTTATATCATCACTTTCGATGACAGCTCAATACTAGTTCTGGCTCGATCACTAGTATCCAAGTAGAGAGTGTGTAGAAGATCTACTTTATTAACATGCCCTTCAATGACAGACACTTAGAGAACTTATCGAACAATGGTTTAAAATAATGAATACGGTTGTAAGTGGAGGTCTGTAGATATGTTCACGCTCCAAAACTTGATGAAGGTCGAATATATGTTGTATCTATGCTTGCAAATGTAGAATATTTTGTCTTATCAGTTGATAGATCAAGTCATTTTCAGTAGGTCTACATACAAACAGCTCGCAGACCTATTTGATTTTCTTAATTTCTTCTGATTTTGATATTTAACATTTAATTGATTCGTCTATTTTCGAAATACAACGGCAGAATGTTTGACTTCCCTTCCTTTTGAATGAAATTAATTTGTACTTGTGAAAGGAAAAAAAATAAAATAAACTTGTTCATTCCTAGCTATTTATGCCGTCATATAACTCACTTTATCTACCATTGGGCAAATATAAAATGATCTGTTACTTATCTTTCTGTGGAATTGTTGATGGAAAGTTTCAACTGTATGGTGATGTCTAGAATGTTTCTCATATGCATTGAAAGTTTTATAACTTGTGACCTGTGTGCCCTGTTAATGTATAACGTAACGATACCGCCAATTAGAAAGCAGTGAATTATCGATCGGGTTAATGACGCGTCAAACCCGTAAGAGCAGTCTAAAGTACTTATCGGTCCTAGCCAAGTCAGTTAAGTTCAGAACACCAATCTCAGTCTCTACAATATGAACCGTTTATTTCAAACATACTCAGCTTATATACCGACCAGACAGACCGCATCGTACCATAAAGTAGGAAACAACATTTGTACAAGATTTTGCCAAATGTGGCTGTGAATGTGTGAGGCAATGACTAATAGACAGAGCATAATTCAACAATGGTAAATCGTATAATAATAGTTCATAGGTCAAAATAAAGCTCATAATAAGAGGGACATGAATATGAATAGTTTAGTTACTTAACGATTATACGATAAAAAATATAAGTATCGTATTAGTCCATAAATGGATCCCAAAAGTTACCATTCATTATGCTTATCGGGACATAACAGAACGA